AATAATAACAATAATAATAATAAAAATAATAATAATAAAATATAAAAACAATAATAAAAATAATAATTATTATACAAATAGTAATAATGATGACAACATTTTTGAAGAAAATAATCTCAATTTTTTTTACAAACCATTAATCAGTCTGGGTGTCATCCTCAAGTTGCCACTGAATAGAAATCTCAGAGGGCCAGCTAGTTTTCCTGCACAATAATAATAATAATAAACAACAATAATAATAAACAATAATAAAAGTAATAATAAGAATAATAATAAAAAGGAGAAAAAAATTAACAGCAGGAGTAATGAAGAAATATAAAATAATAAAGCATCAGAGAAATCACACTGTGTTCATCATCCAAACGACACTCAACCTAGTCATCTGTATCAATCAATCAATCAATCAATCAATCAATCAATCAATCAATCAATCAATCAATCAATCAATCAATCAATCAATCAATCAATCAATCAATCAATCAATCAATCAATCAATCAATCAATCAATCAATCAATCAATCTTCGTTTAGCCCCTGGAGACGCAGTTTCCCGAGGTAGGAGGTCAATCAATCAATCAATCAATAATATCATCACATCCAGCATCACATCATCATCGTCGTTGTCGTCATCGTCGTCGTCATCGCCACTACCATGGCCACAAACTTATTCGAAAGGGTAAATCCATCAGCCTATCGTCAGTTAATTTGGCACGTGGGTTTGCTATATCCTGAGCGTTTTATTATCAGCAATGATAATAGACGAGGTGAAAAGAGTTAAAAATAAAATAATTGAATATTATTATAAATATTATAATTATTAGCCGTAATTGATAAAATAATTATTCAAAATATAATAATTTATATGCACAATTATAACGATGATTATACAAACAGATAGTTAGACAGACGGACAGATATCTAAAGATAGATAGATAGATAGATAGATAGATAGATAGATAGATAGATAGATAGATAGATAGATAGACAGACAGATAGATAGAAAGATAGATAGATAGACAGATATATGACTAAAGAAATAAATAAGTGAATAAAAAGCAGACTAACGATGGCAGACTTAACAATACTCTGAACGTTATTCTTAAATTTGATCATTTCACTCTTGCTTATCCATATCTTTTGATCTATTTTTAGGGATGGGTGGAGTCGTTTTCTGGAACACCTCCTCTCCCAAAGCCCCACCATCTCATTGGCTGGTGGTGTGAGGATCAACTCATTCTGTGGCGGAATAAAAATAATAACAACTACGATAACAGATAATAAAATAATAATAATAACTGCTAATAACAAAAGCAACAACAACAATAAGCATTGTTACATTTCCAGATGGTGTTTGTTGTTGTTCGTTTGGTTGGAGAGATGTTGATGGAGGAGGAGGAGGAGGTTGGTCAGTTGATGTGCTGTTGTTGACCACATCACCTCTTGTTTCAAACTCTCTGAATGAATGCGAGAGAGAGAGAAAGTGAAAGAAAGGGAGAGAAAGGGAGAGAAAGTGAGAGAAAGAGAGAGAGAGAGAGAGAAGGTGAATTAATCAGGAAATGAATGAGTAAAAGAGTAAAAGTTGTTGACCATATCACCACTTGTTTCAAACTCTCTGAATGAGTGCGAGAGAGAGAAAGTGAGAGAGAGTGTGAGAGAGAGAGAAAGAGAAAGCGAATTAGTGAGGGAGTAAGTGAATGAGTGAAAGAGTGCACTAGCGAGTAAACGAATTAGTAACAAAATGATTAAATGATTAACTTAGTGATTAAATGAATAATGGGTGAGAGTTAAAAAATTAGAGAGTAAATAACCGAGAGAGAGAGAGAGAAAGAGAGAGAGAGTGAGAACGAATGGGAAAATTAGTAAATTAAGAAGATAGTGAGTGAATGATTGAAGGATTAAATGAGTAAACGAAAGAATGAAGAAATGAGTGAATGAACCTCATAACTTGCTCTCCTTGAAGAATCATATTGATATCATCGTCAAAGCCAAACGATGGTGCCTAAGTCATGCCAAATTTTCATAAAAACTAAAATTATCACTTTGTTATCATTACCAGAATAATCCCTCTTAGCATCATTACTATCATTAAAGACATTGTCAACACTTTAATCTTTCTCACAGTCCTTCTACCCATTGTCTTCCATACCCTCACCATCTTTATCACCATTATCATCGTCATAATCTTTATCACAATCACCATCACCATCATCATTATAATCTTTATCATAATTACCATCATTATAATCTTTATCACAATCCCCATCACCTTCATCATCATCATCATCATCATCCCCTACCAGTTGAGCAGACTGTAAACAGACGTCCTCTTTCAATGTGATGTCAGATGGATTAACTGTAAATTGCTGTGATGATGATAAATGGTAAATGATAATGATGACATTAAATGATGAGAAATTGGTGATAAACAAAGTCATTATCATATCACCATCCTCACCTCCACCACCACCATAATCATCATCATCATCATAATCAACATCTTTCCCACTACCACACCCACCATCATCATCAACGTTTCCACCATCATCATCACCACCACCACCACCATCATCATCATTATCATAATCAACATCTTTCCCACTACCACACCCACCATCATCATCATCATCACCACCACCATCATCATCATCATCATCATCATCATCAAAACCCTGTGTAGCTCCAATTGATTAAAAGCATCGGTCTGATCTTGCATGAAGTCCATCGGCTGGAAAAAATCCTGTTTTGAAAAATATATTTTTAAATATAATTAATTAAATAAATATATTTATGTGTCTATGTTTCTTCTATGAAATCCAATCTATCTTTCATGTAAAATCCCATAAATCCCGTGAAAAATTTCCATTCTAAGTCCTACACATCCTATTTCATATTCCATTTAAGATATTCTATATCCTATCTTATCCTATATATATCCTATCCTATAAACATCCTATCCTATATAAATCTTACTTGAAATCTCAAAAATCCCATTTGATATTCCATTAAATATCCCATATAAGATATACTATATCCTACACTATCCTATATATCTAAGAAATCTCATTTAATATCCCATCCAGCCAGACCTCAAATGGTAAATTAATGTTATCCCCTCCAAATCCCATTCCCATGAATGCATTGTAATCTGCTCCCGCGGTGAGACCAGGATCGGCTAGAGTAAATGGTTTTCTCTTTTGGAGATGGCGCGGAGTTTCTCGGTCGTGCTGTTTCCTTTTCCTAAATAAATGAAATAATTAACAAAGAAAATTAATTGCCTAATTAGTCAATTAATTAATTAATCAATCAATCAAATGATTCTTTTTTTTTTATTTGTCATTCACCAGTTGAGGAGATAAATTCTTGAAATGTATTTTCATCTCTCAATTTTTAATTGTTATAAGTGAAAATAAGAACAAATGATAATTAATTATTAACTAATCAATTTAATTAATCAGTTAACTAACTAACTAACTAAATTACAAATTAGTAACCTTGGCGTTTTTTCCTCAAGGTCAATCAATGGAATGATAGACGACTGAAACTTCAATCTTGTGTATAACTCAGTTGCCTCAACTAATAATGCATGTTTGTGTGTGTGAGTTTGTGTCTGTGTTTGTGTGTGTGTTTGTATCTCTGTGTTTGCGTCTCTGTGTATAACAAGCTGATGGTTATTCAAACATAAATTTTTAAAAGTTTTGCCTTGAATTTTCATTATTTAATTACCCAATCAGGCATTTAATTCTGATGTTAAAATTAAGCTGACAAATAAGAAGAGAAAAATCAATACAAGAATATAATAAACACATCATAAAATAGATCATATATCTATATAAATAACTATTTGTAGATGTTTTTTGAGAAGAAAGTTAGATGTAAACCCTACACACACACACACACACACACACACACACACACACACACACACACACACACACACACACACACACACAAACAAACAAACACAAAACACACACACCTAATAGATATTGAACTTGTTTTCTGTAAACTTTAATGGCACCAAAAAGGAGCTGAGAGGATAGGTAGAGGGATAGTTTGGGAATATTTCTTTTCTGATGTAGAATATAACTTTTGAGCTCTGAACTAGAGGCAAAAAATCATAAAATGAAAATAAAATAATCAAATTAAACTAATATTAATAACTATTTACTATAAAATTACTATTTTAAATTAATGAAAATTAAAAAAATCATTAAAAATTTATATATGAACAATTTAAACATTAAAATAATAAATTGACTGAATTTATATATGCCGAAAACAAATATGTATTAAAATCTTTTTAAGTTAACAAGAATAATGAACATCACCATCACATGTTTATAATCTAACAAGAGTAATGAATATAGTAAATTTATAAGTAAAAAATACTGAACTTAATAATTTGAATGGTTAAAAAGTTTAAAAAATCACCAAAAAATTAATCAGCTTCAATATTTTGAAAAGAAAGTTTCAGAAATTACTTGAAACAATTAATTTAATAAATAAACTCACCATGTTTCATTGAGATCTACTGCCTCGTAATCTCTTCTTTTCAAGGCATTTTCTTTAGTTGCTGCTAACCTGGTTAGTGGAATGTTTGAAGGTTTTTAATAGATAAGAAACTAATTTATTAAAGAAAGTTCTAAAATCAAAAACTGAAACATTTTCTTATATAATATAATCAAACTGACAACCTGGTTAGTGGAATGTTTGAAGGTTTTTAATAGATAAAAAACTAATTTATTAAAGAAAGTTCTAAAATCAAAAACTGAAACATTTTCTTATATAATATAATCAAACTGACATGATTAACAGATGTATGTATGCAATACAATACACACATTAACTTATTATAAGACTCTATAAAATTCTAAACTAAACTAACAGTCAATTAAGAACTGACAATTTAGTACATATTTCATATTTATTAGTACTATTCTGTATTAATATTATTAATTAATGTTAACTACTGTTAGTTATTATGGTATTATCAGACACATTCACCATACAAAAAAACTAAAAAAGAAAAGAAAGGATTGACAATTTAGTTAGTTACACATATACAAAAAGATAGCAGAAGAAGATTTAGAATTTATTAAACTAACTAAACTAAACTAAGCTCTATCTAACCTAACCTAACAGCATAGGACAAACAGGCTAGCAAGTAACAAGGCACTCCTCAGATGTGTAGTGAAGAGAGCTAATAACTATACTATACTATACTAGTAAGCTATACATGGAAACCTTGGATGTCATATATAGTAAGTTATATACTATTAAGTTATATAATATACTATATTATAATAATTATATATTCCTCAGATGTGTATAACTATCTATAAAAAATAAGTTTTTTGCTTTTTTAAATTTTGTATAAAATAAAAAAAAGGAGCTTTTCACTTTGATTTGAATTGAATTGCATCTTAAGCAAACAGCTGAATTAATTCCATAGCCATTTTGAATTAAGCATTAAAAGAAATAATAAATACTTCAGATTTTAATTAGTTTGATTTGATGATTGTGTGTCTTAAAAATAATTTAATGATTAAATTATTATTTATATGACAGACTAACTAACCATATTACCGAAAATTTTCCGTTCTTTTTAAGAATATCGATGCAATAAAACATCTTAACGTAGGGATGAATAAAGAGAAAAAACACTTTTGATGAACAAAATTATCAACTTAACTCAAAATATTAGAAAAAAAAGTTTCAAACTATTACCGCTTAAAAGAAGACGCCGTCTTCTTAACTCAAATTTTAAATCATGCGGCGCTTAACAAATCTCTCTCTCTCTCACACACACACACAAACACGCACACAGTGTTATATTTTTCAATTTAACTATATCAGAATTAATAGAAACAAGAAACATTTTCCGTGTACATATTTGAATAAATAATAATAATAAAATAAAAATAATTATATTAACAATGTTATTTTTGATAATTATTACAAAATAAATCAACAAACCGTTGAAGCATTCAAAAAAAATACATTGAAAAAAAATAATGGCTTTAGGAATATTATCATTCTTAAAAGAAATAATACTAACAACAAATAAGCATTAATAATAATGATAATAACAACAATAATAATAATAATAGCAACAACACTACTAATAATACTAACAACAACAACAATAATAATGAAAGCAATAATATTAATTTTAATAAAAGTTATAAGAAATGATTTCAAAATAGTTAGACATTATAATAGTTGTCTTTATTTATTTGGCTTTGCAAAGATTAAGGACGATAATATATATATATATATATATATATATATATATAAATAAAATAACAATATAACAATATATAATAATATATATATAAACCTGGTAACAACGAGATGTCGTTCTTACCTATTGGTCGCGACACCTCAATTTGAGTTTCTTGGTTACAATAATTGAGTTGTGTTATCTTAAACCTTATTCGGCAGGATACTGACGAGTCTCGTGAGAGACGAAACGTACGTCTGGTCTATGGCGGGTAATGGTTAACCAATATATATATATATATATATATATATATATATATATATATATATATATATATATATATATATATACAGTATTGGATGAGTTCTACCGAATTATTGACATTGATCAATTTAAGGTAGTTGAAAGTAAAAATAATTCTATCAAAATTCGTTTTCTCGGTAACTATAAATGCTACAATGAAAAATTTGGTATTATTTTAATCAGCAAATTTTGCTTTATAAGAAAAAGTAATTTATATACAAAAAAAATTTTTTTTTGAAAAATCGTGCGACCTGCTAATTTAAGGTTTGTCATTTCAATTTCCTTTAACTTTCCTTTAATTATTATTATTATTATTAGTAGTAGTAGTTTTTTAATGTGTGGTTTTGATGTTTTGATTTACAAGAGAAGATCGCAAAGTACATCTACCACATAAACAATGTATATAATTACAACTATATATATAAATATATATGTGTGTGCGTGTGTGCTTGTGTGTGAGTGTAGTTTTTTTATCTATAAATATATATCAACATTAAGTAAACATACATACATGATACATACATACATATAAATATATGCATACGTACAAAACAATAGACATAGGTAATTATATATATATATATTTATATATATATATATATATTGGTAATAGACCATAATTTTTACAATATTCTATAAATTCTACCGAATGTTTGGCGTTAATATGTTTGTAGTTCGTTTTTTCAATTTTTCTCACTAACGTTTTTTTGGTGAACGTTTAGTTTATTAAAATTCAAAAAAAACTTATTTTCCAAATTCATGCTGCAACATATATATATATATATATATATGTGTGTGCGTGCGTGCGTGTGTTTGTTTGTAAACATATATATATATATATATATATATATATATATATATATATATATATATATATATATGTGTGTGTGTGTGTGTGTGTGCGCGCGTGTACGTGTGTACTAGGGAAACTTAATTAAAAACAAAAATTTAAAAAAAAAAACAACAAATGAATGAACAAATAAAAGACAAATGAATCGTCATTAATTTATCAATTTATCTAAATCTTTCAAATGAACAGGAAGTTCCTTTTTCTAGGAAGAAATAAAAAGACATAAATAAGTACAAGATTTTTTTTCAAACTGGAAAACATATTTTCTTTAGAAAAATCCCCAGGATATGGACACAGGAATTAAATAAAACTGTAGCTGTAGTGATAAATGGATCAATAGATGAATGAATGAATGAAAGAACGAACGAATGAATGAACGAGAAAATGGATGAAGGAATGAACGAACGAGCGATTGAATGAATGAATGAACGAACTGATGAACAAATAAAAACTTGATAGACAGATGGATGAATGTTTCAAATGATTAATCAACTACTTTGAATTTTTCAATGAAAATGATCTGACGACGACGAAGATGACGATGAAGATCACCATCATGGTGAATGTCAAAAATAGTAAAATAATAACAACAACAATAATAATAATAATAACAACAACACGGATATTATTATCAAAATTATAATTATCTTTAATCATTGTTGTTATCATCAGTATTATGAATATCCATAGAGTCCTCGTCGTCGTATTCTTCGTCATCAGCATCCTTCTTTTTAGTTGTTGTTGTTGTAGTTGCGGTTGCTGCTGCTGTTGTTGTTGTTCTACAGCCATTGTTATCGTCACTATCGTTGGTGGTGATCGTCGATGTTGAATCTATTTTGTTGCTTTTATCTGGTGAAATGAATGAGTGAGTGAATGAATGAATGAATGAATAAATGAATGAATTAATAAATGAATGAATGATGGATGAATGAATGATTAAACGGATGGATAAACGATAGAACATTCAATCATTCACCACATAAATAATATAGTGATTTATTCAACTCATACATTTGTAATCCAAACCACAAAATTATATAGATTTAAAATCATCAATGGTTCCTTTCATACAATTGTTCATTCATTCATTCATTCTTCATTCATTCATTACTCATTCATCCGTTTATTCATTCACTTTTCCATTCATTCACTCAGGAATTAATTCTTTCCAGTCATAAACCATGCACACACAAAAAACATCAAAAGAAAGTCAAAGGCTGAATCTATAATTGGATTGGGTTTAATACATTTACTGCCATCATCATCATTATCATCATCACCTCAGACGCACACTACTCACGCATTCATCCATTCATTTATTAATTCATTCATTCATTCATTCATACTCATTCGCCATCCCCACCGTCATCATCACACTATTTCAAGTGTTTTCTAGCTAGTTTGGTTCATTCATTCATTCATTCACTCATCCAATAACACATTCATTCATTCACTCACTCGCTCACCATCATCGTCGTCGTCATCATCTTCCTCTTGCAGTAGCTGTCTGGCTAGTTTGATGGCCTGGAACTCATTGTAATGTTGCTTGCGGTGCAATATGAAACGTCTCTTCTTCTCTGTGTGTGATGATGATGATGAAAATGATGATGATGGCGGCAAAGATACTGATGATGATACTGATGAGGATAGTGGTGATGATGACGATGGTGGTGATGATAATGATGACGACGACAATGATAATAATACTGATGTTGATATTGATGCTGATGATGACAGTGACATCATCATCATTATCATCATCATCATCATCCACCAATGACCTTTTTCTTCTTCGGACAGAAACTCCTCATCATCCTCATCCTCACCACTACTGATGGTGTCGACTTTAGTGAACACCTTTGCCTTTGTCTTCATCGTCAGTCTGATGAATAAATTAATAAATTAAATGATACATATTATAATTAACTAATTAAAATTGAGAGAAATAGATCATTTGAACATAATTGAATATAAAATAATGCAACGATATAATAATGAGGTTATGTTTGGATGATTTGCATATTTGGCATAATAAATGTGTATATAAATATATTTAATTATGTAACAATAATAAACTATCCCTATTATTATAAATGATTAAAAATTAGAATGCATGAGAATAAAATACAAAAAAAATGACACCAACCCTTCAACAAGAAGTTGTGGATCAATAGGGAGGGACTCATCCTCATCTCCACTCCTCGTTTCATCTCCCTCCCCATCGAATTTGTTGTATGGGGTCGGAGGTTCGTCGATTTTGTCGTGGCCATAGTCCTTGTCTGCAGGGTGATAAGTGGCTAGGATATTCATTTCATCCCATTTCATTCCTTTATCTATCGACTTCTGCCTGTAATTTTATTTGATTATATATTATTAATAAATATTTCGTGGTTTTTGAATTTTAGTCTTATACTTAGAGATACTTAGAGATCAACATCAAAAAAACAAAAATAAGAAAAAAATTCCTAACGGTTGTTGGCCCTCAGAGCGGTCAGATGTATCAAAGCTTGACGCATTTTTTAGAATTCCTTTCACTGGCTTTTTGTCAATAAGTTCGGCCATCTTGTTTCGATTACGAACAGACGAAAAATATTTGAGCTATAGCTAAAAATTTAAATGTTTTTTGAGGTCAACTACCTACAGGCAGTTCATCCACACTACTAAGTGCCAAATAAATTTAATGTTAATCCCACCGAAAACTATGAATAATTTGCAATCTATTTGGATGAAAAATTGTGTAATAATTTGACAAAAAAATATATAAAAATTTTTTAATGAATATTAATTTTAAAATATTTCAATATATATACATACACTTGTTCGCCAGAATCAGATAAAGTTGAACATAAATAAATACTTGGATGTGTCTAACAGACAAATTTAGTTCAATTATTGATACCTAAAATAGGCGTATAAAACTGATGTGTAAAAAAATTTAATAAATTTTGTTGTTAACATCAAGTAAAAATTAAAATAATTTAAAAAAAATTTATTCAGTATAAAAATTTTTTTTTGAGAAATTAAAGTACATCCCTTTCCCAATTCCGCCAGATCCAAAATCTCAATTAGTGACAATTTCTCGATTTTTCAAATTTTGCCGCAAGTTTTCCAAAAAGTTTCACTAAACTTCTCGTTTAAATTATTAGAAAAAATTTATTTTTAAGGGCAATATTTTAAACTTTAAATTTCGAAATCATTTCTTCTACATTAATTTCACATATTCAAGTGTACTAAAGTTAATTAAAGAGTAGTAGAGAAAAGATTTTGTTGTCATTGGCAGAGCACGTTTTTCAATTTTGTTGTGTCGTGTAATATAAAAAAAAAGCTAAAAATGTCTGAAAATAATAGATTGAAGAACTACAAAAACAAGGGAAGGGGAGTTGAGGTTTGTTTGTGTTTTTTACTTTCTCAATTTAAATCTTAAAATACTTTCAAATCAAAGTATCCTAATCCTAACTAAAGAAAAATTCTGATATTTTTTTAGGATTTGCGACGTCAGCGCTCGGAGGCCAGCGTGGAGTTAAGGAAGGCCAAAAAGGAGGAGCAGTTCTTAAAGAGGCGAAACATGAATGAAGAACCAGAGCAGCTACCACTTCAGGAAAATAATTCCCAGGTTGGTGAAATTAAAAATAATACCTGTCCAACTTACCTTGCTATTGACTTCTAACATTCAAGTCTTTTTCACATTATTTTTGATGGCCTCCTGTATTGTGTTATAACTGTTTTTAGTAATTGCTTATATTATGCTGTTGAGGTTTTACTGAGAAGTAATTTAAAATTGTTATTCTACATAATACTAATACTAACAGAGTCAAGTAAACCCAGTGATGCCCCTTGATGAGATAAAGAGAGTCTTCATCAGCTCCAGCAATCCAGAATTGCTCTTTCAAGCTGTTCAGAGCATCAGGAGGATGCTGTCGAGGGAAAGGAAGCCTCCCATTGAATCAATCATCGAAGCTAACTTCCTGCCTCCGCTTGTTGAGTTTCTAAGCTCTGAAAAGTAAAAATTCTCACCTCATTTTCAGTTGCTGATACTTTACAAGCGCTGCTACAATAACCATCATTTTTAATATTAAATGTTAAGAAATTTGTTTCTTCATCCAATCAGCCATGACATCCAGTTCGAGGCCTCATGGGCCCTGACCAACATTGCCTCAGGAACCTCCATGCAGACACGAGCTGTCATCAAAGCTGGGGCCATTGTCCCTTTTGTTAATCTCTTGTCCAGTGGTCATACCAATGTGGCCGAACAAGCTGTCTGGGCATTAGGAAATATTGCTGGTCAGTCAGTTGGTTATTTTTTTTGTTGTCTCCAAAGGGTTTTTGTTCTTTTTTTAGGATTTTTTATTTCAGTTTTCGCAAGTTTCATGGACCCTTTTTGTGAAAAAGATAACAATTTGTGTTAACTATTAAACATTAACACAGGTGATGGTTCAGATACACGAGACATGGTATTAGAAGCAGGGTGTCTCAAACCCCTTCTTGCTCTCATCCAGAAAGCAATCGATAAAGCAGCAGAGGATCCAGAAAGTGGTTGCCTACCATTCCTTCGCAATTTGACGTGGGCTCTATCCAATTTATGTCGCAACAAAAATCCTCCACCAAAGATTGAATACATGAGGATGTGCCTGCCAGCGCTGATTCGCCTAATCCACATCGGGGATAAAGATATAGTGGCCGATGCTACCTGGGCCGTCTCGTACATTAGTGATGGGCCTAATGAAAGGATCCAGGAAGTTATTGATTCTGGTTAGTTGGATATTTTTGCAATTTCATTTTCTGGAGTTAATCGTCTATGGGTATTAATTTTTATTTTTTTTATTGTTGTTGCTTAGGTGTGGTACCGAAGTTAATTAGTTTGCTGTCTGTGCCCGACGTTGCTGTCTTAACTCCGGCCGTGAGAGCCATTGGCAACGTTGTAACAGGGGATGATCATCAGACTCAGGTTCAGTTTCTGAGTTATTCAATTGATTGATATAGTAGTTGATTGAGTGACTGGTTTGGTGGGTGATGGGTTGGTTGTAGAGCCCCAAGCAGAGAAGATTTTTCAAACCACAAACATCCGCAGAGTTCACATCTGCACTGCTCATTATCTCCACTGCACCCGCGAAAAGGCAACCTAAATCAGCTGTCTTAATCTCATGTTTAAAATTAGAAGATAGCAATACTAGAGAGCAATTTATTTACAATATAGTTATAATCAGAAGAATTATAAGAGAAGAATTTAAGAAATTTCTAATTTAATAGTTGAAATAACATCGGCCAAAACAATGAGGAACTCAAACAAGCTATTTATTTGTTTAATATTTATGGAGATGTTATGTTATATGTTGGTCGTACCAAAATATATATATATATATGTACAGTACATATGTTAATTTGTATATACGTATGTGTGTATCATATATGTGTATATATGGCGATGATAAATAGATATACTTCACACATACGTTTTGTGTGAACACACGTATGCACGCACATATACGTGTGTGTGTGTGTATGAAACTATCTTCTTCATTCAAATCCACTGAAGTAATTAGTAGAAACTGCTTGCTTGGCTTTATCAACGTGGACCCCAGAGAGACTCAGCTAAGGTCATTAAGAACACGTACATATACGCAGACAAACATAACAAAATTTTTTATTCTGAAAATTTTTGAAAATTAAAAATTTAATTTTGCGGGCGATTGTGTAAAAACACACTTAAATCCGCATCTGCAGCAAACCGCAGAGACCAAAAATTTGCAGAGTTTTGAAAAAATTTTATTCGGTTTGAAGCCTCATTGAGGATATCCACTTGGGGCTTGGGTTGATTGGTTCTTCAGTTTTTTTATTTCTTATCACTGCAACTACAGTAATACTGCAATGTAACTATTACATAAATAGCATCATCACATTATAACAACAATTACATCTCCCTTTCGCGTCACAGTACGTACTAGATCTGAATGTCCTAAGTAACTTCCACTTCCTGCTGAACCACGAGAAGGGAGCCATACAGAAAGAGGCCACGTGGATGATTTCAAACATCACCGCTGGCAGTCCTATGCAGATACAAGTTAGGCTTCTTAAATTTTTTGCTTGTATATCTGGTAGGATGGTTGATTGCGTGATGGGCTCTTTTTTGGATTCTGGCTTGTTTGCACATACCTATTTTACATAACTAAATTGATACTGTTTGAAAATGTTACCAAAAATGGACACAGTTATGTTGGCCTTTTTCCTCATGGGGGTAATAACGTATTCTAACATCTACCATAGAGACATAACACATTCATTTACGAATAACCCGCGAATAACTACAACATTTTCCTAAAATTAGGCAGTCATAGATCAGAATTTGGTTCCCTGCATAATAAAGATTTTGGCCACGGGTGACTTCAAAAGTCAGAAGGAGGCAGTTTGGGTCCTCAATAATCTGACTTCCGGAGGTACTGGGCCACAGATTGCATACTGTGTTCAGGTACGTGTTTTTTTTTTTTTTTTGATTGGTTGATTGATTGATTGTTTTTAATTGAAAATGTTATTTAAACCTTTCTTTGATTTACACTTGGCTGGTTATGTCTTAACTTATGTGTGTACATGTGTAAAATTGGTTAATTTGTTTGATTGATCGATTGATTAATTGATTGATTGGGAATATAAAAAATTACGGATCTTTATTACTTGCACCACCTCCATCACAGGCTGGTTGTATCCCTCACCTATGTGATTTACTCTCGAGCAAAGATTCCAGAATAGTCAGCGTCATTCTAGATGCGCTAAATAACATCTTACACGTTAGTGGTGATATGATGATACTATGATATTGTTTGTGATGATGATATTGTGATAATCTTGATAGTTTCTAGTATAGTAAAGCTGCAATATTATGTATTTATCAGCTCTGGCTGAAATGTCGTAACAAGACGATAGTGCAACATTTGCATGTAACGATAATTATATCAGTAATAATAATTATACACTAATTGCGAACAAATTTTTCACTAATTTTAGGCAGCTGCCCAGGTCAACCAGGTCGAACCAGTTGCAATGATGATCGAAGAGTGTGGGGGTCTTGATAAAATCGAAGCCCTACAGAACCACGAAAATGAACTGCTCTATAAAACCTCCCTTCGTATTATAGAGAAATTTTTCTCTGACTCGGTCGGTGGTAGTGTACTTTCTATTAATAGTTTGGTGGTAACGGGGGTAATTAATTATATACAGATTTTAAAATTTTTCAATCGTGACCGTTATTTACGGCGTGAATCCTATTATAATTACAATTCACTTTTATTCACAGGATGAGGAAACAGAAACTTCAGCCCCGGCCGAAATGAATGGAACTGCTGGCGGAGCCCTGCCTAACAACTTTAATTTTTAATTTAAGTTTAATGTACATCCCATCTGCTGTTAACTACAATAATTTTTATCCCATAATTATTACGTCACAGCTATTAAATTATTTATTACTACGATAAAGATATTAATCAGGTTGAGATAGCGAGTTATTTGCCTGTGTGCATGTAATTTTATATCTGCTATATATATATATATATATATATATATATATATATATATATATTTGCTGTTTATACATACACATCTAAAAAAAATTAACCTGATCAGACTTTAATATTTGAAAATTTCCTAAATATTTAAGAGAGCCATTCTTATTAATATATTTCAGTTGTCTCTAGCTATGTACGTTGATTTTATGTTATACGTTTTTTTGTTATTCACTTCATCTTGTTGCAAAATTTAAATGATAGTTGAGTAGCAAGCATGTATTTAGGCACGTGGAATCAAACTGGTGTATTTATATATTGATTGGATGTAAGCACATTTTGTTGATGCTGGGAGTTTTATCCAATATGTTTGTTCTGTTCGAAAATAATTATGAAATGGGGATTTTTTTCTGGTTTGAGTTTAAAAATTAAACGAATGCTACCGCAATCATGTATTTAGATTGATTATTTGGCACTAATGTAGATAAACTTTTACCAAAAATTACAAAAGTAATGAATGATTAAATCCTTCGTTCGCTACAATAAATAAGAAAATCTAAATTATGGTGGTACATGCATGATTTTGAATATCGTTATTAGTCATCTACTAAATTAGTATTCGTTCAATCAAGTAAACTACATTAAGTTTTCAGGGCATACTCATGCGTAAGAAACGATTGCAAGCCTGGCTGGAGTTGATTAAATCCATCTAAACATTTTTATCTTGAAGCCATCAATTCCTTTATGAAGCAGGAATACTTTGTTATCGGCGACGAGTGCACCACCCAGAATTTTTTCTTCCGGAAACGCGCCGTTAGCTAATCCGTTCAAATAGAAGGCGAGAGGTGTGCGGTTGTTTCCGAACATCATCGAGGCGTCATGCAATTCGACTGTGTTGTTCTTCCGGTCAAGTTTGAGGAGTTTGTCGCCGGAGGGGCTCAGCGAGATAGTTTTGTGGTTTTCGTTCTGAAGTTCTGGGTGTGGTTTGAAGTCTTTCAATACGTTCCCGTCGCCATCTATCGTCAAATATTTTTTGCCGTCGGTTACTGCAATAATATCCGGTCGGTTCAAGCAACTGTCCAATTCTTTAACGTTACCCAAGTTTACGATGGCGGGATTTGTATACTTGAGTGAATAAAATAACACAATGGAATCCAGATCAGGACAAACGTTCAACAAACCTGACTGCCCAGCTACGAATCCTCTTTTAAACGGCGCCAAACAACTCGTGGACCCCAGAGGAATGGTCTTGACCGGTTCATCCACCGGGTCCGACAAATCATAAATATCGACTCCGCAATCATGAGCAACAGCTAGCTTATTCGAATCGTGGTTCATCAAACAGGCATCATTTATTATCTTAGGAACACTTTTCGAGCAAATCTTGTCACCATTCTTGTTGAATATATGAACAGCATTGTCGGATCGTGGTGTTGAACTCTGATTTGAACTGTCGGCTGGATTTCCACCATCGATAACAACGACTTTTCCGTCAGCACATGCTTTCATTTTGATTGGAAGATGCAAATTGTCGCCCGTGTGACCCTCGAAGATGGCTGATTCGTGAAATTGAGGAATGCAAGGTGCTGGGTTTCTGCTTGCATGCTGTTCAAATGCGTGCTGTCCACTCAAACTGGCTGATGGTTGTGGTGTTGGTGGTGTCGATGACGACGCATTGAAATTAAAAACAGAATCTGTGAAGTTTGAGCCGGACAGTTGAAACGACGGTGAAGATTGTTGTGGCGATTTCGAAGGGGCGTTATGATAAATAAATCCGTTCACTCTACTGACACCAGGATTGCTGCTGGCGTTACTAACGTTGCTTTTCATTGTTCCTTTCTCTTCATCAACTTGTTTGTCCGGTGTTTCAGCAGGTCTTGATGAAAGACTTTGTGTTTCGCTTATACTTGAAGTTTGAGTGAAATAGTTCCAATCTAGATCGTCATTATCATCCTGGTTGTTCATGCCGAAATATGCTGGGTTTGCAGTGAAAGGGCTGTTCGGAAGACGTTGGTATTGTTGAAAATTAGATTGAGAATAATTTTCATGCAGGGAACTTTGTTGCGAATGCTTGGACGAACCGTTTGATTTTAATGAGCCATTGTTATCAACTCTAGAAGCCATATTTTTTGCAACGCCTCCATTCAGAATTTCGTCTACTGTGCCAAACTTCATCACTGACTGATCAACATTCCGTTCACAAACCCCTTTCACAAATGTTTGTGCAGGCACCTTCGAACTTGCAGGTTTGAATTGATCAGGAACGGGTGCGTATTGGTGATAGTCATCCTCGTCCATTTCCATTATAACCTCGCTCGTGAAATCACCAGGGAGATGTTCAAATTTATGTTCCATATTAAGTTTGTATGAATCTTGTAGAAGTTTGTTGGGGTATGGAATAAATCCGTAGTTGCTTGGCATATTTTGAAGAATGATAGCTCCTTTTGGTGCTGCTTTCGACGCATCAGTTTTAAGGACTGTTTCATTTGCATTGTTTTGATCAGCATTTGTTATTTCTGTTTTATTTTTAGATGATTTTTCGACTTTGCCATCATCTTCATCGTCATCGTCCTCCTCTTCGCTGCCACTCTGACATTGGTAGCCACTGTCAAGTCTTTTGACAGGATGTAAGATTGGGTTGGATGACTTCACCACCGTTCGTTTGCTCATCTCAACCTCATAAGCATCCAAATGATCCTCCAGTTCCTCTTCCGGGGTTTTCACCTCAGATTCTCCGTTATATTTCAACATTTTATTTTTATCTTTCTTCTGAAAATACCTCTTGATCAGAGACACCAAGTCAAGGGAACGAGTGTTAACCTCCAGAGAGAAAGTACCATCGCTGCCACATCGCGTTTTCTCACGGCAGATGGGGCATTTAACTTTCCTATTTAGTCTCATCCCAGACACTAGATATTTATCGATGCAAGGGCCACAAAACGTGTGTGGACACTGGAGCTTTTTCGGCTGCCTCTTCTCGTCATCGTAGTTGTTCATGCATATTTTACACAGAATCAACTCTTCCTCATGAGGTTTCAAATCAGGTTTGTTCGTCTCATCAACGATCTCCGTCTTTTTACCCATGTTGGTTGATTATTTCATCAAAATTTCAAAAAATTCAGTTCTGACGATGTTCTTAATGTATCAACAAATTTTCTTACGTTCAGCGATCACATTGCAGACATTTACGACATCTGTCTACAGTTAGATTTTTTAAAGTTAATTATCCCAGTACATTTATAGTATTTTCAGTTATAAATTTCTAAAATTAAACCTAAAACAGAAACTATGTTGAAGATTTATTGTATAAAAATGATTAAACTAAAATATATTTTAGTAACACCAGTCAAGACTTATCCGATCATTTCAAGTAATTTTGTAGAGATGTACGTGAATATGTATGCATGTATGTGTGTATGTATGCGTAAGTATATATGTATGTGTGTATATATACAGGTATGTAAGTATGTATGTGTGCGTGTGTGTATGCAACTATTCAAGATATATACCTTTGTTATGCTTCTAATACATTCAAGCCTACAGAACAGCTAACAATGCAAAAGCTAACAAAACATCATTTGTTGTCTTTATTATTATTATTACTACTACTATTACACCTTATTATTCTAACTATTATTATGATTATTTCATATTATTCACGATTATTATTTCTTTTAATCACACTCACTACCTTATAGCACGAGTCAAGCATGAAATTAATATGAACGCAATCAGCCCAACAATGAACACACATAGATACACACACACACATACATACACACACACGCATACATACGTACATACATACACACACACACACACACACACACACACATACTGTTGACTTGTATAATGTACCTCACCAATTTCTTTTCCTCTCTCTCTTTACATCTCTCTGTCTTTCTTTCTATGTGTGTGTGTGTGTATGCTTGTTCATTTGTATAGTCTAGTATACAAATAACCTACCTCCCATTTTAATGTGTATATCATCTACTCATTTTTATCATACCACACACACACACACACACACACACATACACACACACACACTTACACAAACACACTTGTACATACACACTTACAAACATACAGACACACAAACATACCAAAGATACAAACACTCACAGACACACACAATACACACACATACATACACACATATTAAACAACTTTATGTGGGATTATTATTGGATCAAACTTCGAAACTAAATAAGCCAATCCTAGATTAGTGTATTATATTACCATGAAAGAGTTCATTTGCAACCAAAAAAAAACAATAAACGAAATATTAATTAACAAGTTTTACTTTAATTTAAATTTTTATTTACGAACATGAAAATAAAAGCAAAAAGGAAACATCAATAACAATAATAATAATAAAATATAAATATAAATGAAAATTAATCACTTTTTCACCATCACCCATCTATCCTTGAAAACCTTAACATCTGAACTTCGATATCCAACGATTCACGTCTATGATTCTTGTATGACCTCGGAAGGTCAAACTTTATCTGGGTCACGGGTTCAACTCGGACGTTTAACCTTCTGAACCTTTTCTCTATGACCTTTTTGTTTGTTGTGAAGAAGGATTTTAAAAATATTTTTTTGTCGAAATTATGTTTGTTGAGATTCTAGAAATATACTTTGCAAAAGCCCGTAATTAATTAATTATTATTACCATAGATAAATTATTATTATTATTATTATAGTAATTGTTACAGTTATTTATTATTAATACATAATTTTTTTTAAATAATTATAAAATAGAACTAGGATGAAGGGAATAAGTACATTGGAACATTTAAACATTTTAAAAAAAATGCTACAACAACAACAACGACAATAATAATAATAATTATTATTATAAAAATAATTATAATAATATAATCAATAAATAATTAAATAACAATAATAATAATACCAGGAAATGTTTAGTTTTATGGAGTGAATACACAGAGCCTGTGCATATGGATAGGCCAAATTTGACAAAATCTATATCAGTATCTGAATTATTCAATTATTCGTATTATTATTATCATTATTATTACAATTATCATCATCATCACCGCCATCATCATTATCATCATCATCATCAGCGCCATCATCGTAACAAAGATCGGCACCTTTTATATCTTTAGTACCAAATGGAGGGTTCATAATAACAGTGTCAAATTTGTTGACAAACAAACCACAATTATTATTGTTATTATTATTATTATTGTTATTATTGTTATTATTATTAGTAGTAGTAGTAGTAGTAGCAGCAGCAGTAGTAGCAGCAGTAGTATTGTCGTTGTTGTCAAAAATTGTTTCATCTTTCACTTTGAGTTTTTTTAAATTATCATTAACGTCATCGTTTTGTAGAAGTTGTCTTTCTGGCTTCTGCAGCCGCTGCTGCTGTCGTCGCTGTAGCTGTCTATATAGTTGCAGTACATCAACTTTTAATAAATCGACGTTTGTTATTTCACCATCATCCAAATTCTCCCTGGCAATGCTAAGGGCATCGTCGTCAATGTCTAGACCCAAACAGTAGCTAAAAATAGCGATTCACGGAGTTATTTTATATATAAATTGCTATTTAAAACTGAAGTTAACTTTTAACCATTAGTGGAATTTGATAGCCAATTAGAAGATAACCTTGTTCATATAATTTTAGATGTTGTAGAAGAATGTTAGGTAATGTTGAAAATCAACCAGCCAGCCAACCAACCAGTAAACCAACTAAACCTTTAAACAACCAATCAACTAATCAACCAGCCAACTAACCCTTTAAACAACCAATCAATCAATCAAATAACTAACCAACCAACCAACTAACCCTTTAAAAAACCAAAAAATCAATTAACTAATCAACCAACCAACCTAGCTCCCATGAGTGAGGCAGCAATGGATAGCATTCCAGTCCCACATCCCAAGTCAACAACAGTCTTTCCTTCAATGTCTCCAAACTTCATCTCGATATGGTATAACATGTGACCTGTGACAGAGATATAACAATTATCATTATAATATAATTATTATAGTAATAATTATAATGATAATATAATTATTATGACATATTATATTGTAATATGAATTGCGGATTAGTGAAATGTTATTTAATTTATTATTATTCAGATATGATTACTACAGCAAAGAGATAAATAAATTTGTTAATGAATTATTGTGAAGTTTAAAAAAAAATTAATTATAGACTTAAATGAAACTTAAATATAAATGAATAAATTTTATATAAGTTCTTTTTTAACCAACCTGCAATGTGTGGACTAGTGAGATATTGTTCTAGATCCAGTTTAGGGTCCCTAAAAGGTTCCACGTTTGACAGTGTTGACTCCAGAGTTTTCAACTTCATTAGGACAATGATGATGGTTTCGTGGTTGGTGATGATGATAAAGTTTCTGATTCACCTGCTTGTTATTTCAGCTGGTAAGATATGAAATTTTAAATTGTATTAGTTTATAATTTTATATTAATTAACTAATTAATTAATTATTAATTACAAACACATACACATCAGTCATTATTATTTTAAAAAAGTATTAACATTTAATAATTAGACTTAGATTGGACATTAAAGTTGAAGGTTAACTTGAAAGTAGAAAAGAATCTAATCAGCAGCACAATTGAGAATTGACAATTTCCATTTTCAAAAAATAATTTCAAATTAATTTCCATACAGTTCTCTTTATATATAATATTAATTTTAATGTTAATCTTAATTTAATGTTAATTAAACTTTGAAAGCATTTGCATTCAATTTTGCACAAAACAACATTTCAATTTTGTAATCTTCTAGCAAAATAATATCTTTAATAAATTTTTATAAAGAAATTTTTTATTTTTGTACAAGCCTGACAATTTGTCTTTGAACGGTATGCAAGTTTTACTTTTAGTTTGTTAAATATCGTTTACCATGACAAAGAACTAATAACATTTTTAGAAAATAATCTTTGGCAGGTTCCCGTTTGAAGCCAATGAACCTGTTGCGCGATTTAGCGACGTTCCAAAGACACGATCAACAGTCCGTTGTGAGATATCTTTCTCTGTCTCGTCTAGAGCCCACACTACAATGTGAATTTTCCACCGCCAAACAAGTAAGGGCATGTCTCAGAGACCAGAATCGACCGTCTACTGTTTTTCAGGCTTTAATTTTTAAAATTTCACTACTCCATTTACACTAAACTGAATTTTTATTTCATGCAAAAGTAACTGAAAATACGTAGAAATACAAAATTTTATGAATATTTCAACCAACACAGTGTTAATTAACCAGACATGTATTCTAATATGATTAAACAACAATTACTAATCAGTCATAAACCAGTTACAAGTGTACGCACTTATAATTACAATAATTTATTCCTAAAACTCAAGAACAAGTAAACAATAGTTATTATAATAACCAACAATGTAAGGAATGTTTTCATTGTGATAGCGAACAACAACAACGTTCAAACAAACAAACACACACAACACACACACACACACAGACACACACACACAAATGCACATCAATTCACGATAAAAGTCTGGCCACTTGGCCAGGTTCAATGGGGGCAATCGAAGTAATGCTGGGGTACTGATTTTTAGGATCGGAAATGGCAGAGTAGAGTTGGGAGTAAGCCATGCAAATTAGTTCTGTCGTTCGGCGCTTTATCTGATCCCTGTGGGAATGTGTGTAAGTATATGTCTGTCTGTCTGTATGTATGTATGTATATATATGTATGTGTGTTGTCGTTGTGTATGTATGTGTGTGTATCTATATCTATGTCCGGCGCTTTATATTTTTACCTGAACTTTGAACTTTGAACTCTGTTGCATTGCCCCATGGTCGTAGGGTCGGGATTTGACAGGAAACCATCCAGTTTTGCCTAGTGGTGATGATGACGGTGATGATGATCATAGCGATGAAGATGATGACGACGATAACTTTGATGATGAGGATAAATAGCACGTGTGATATTATCATTACTATATCATCATCGTCGTCGTCATCATCATCGTCGTCATCCTACTCACCATAGCTGCCTTCACAGAAGCAACATCCATTCCAGACATCTTCGATAGGGGCTCCTTGAATGATGATACATTTACTCATTCACTCAACTATTCAAACATGCATTCTTTCATTCACGCACTCATTCATTCAATCATTCATTCGTTAACTCACAGCTGCGTTTATATTTAACTATGACAAACTCCATACACTTATTCACTCACTCATTCACTCACTCATTCATTCTTTCACTCACTCATTCATTCTTTCACTCATCCATTCACTCACTCACTCACTCACTCATATACACACTCACTCACTCACTCACTCACTCACTCACTCACTCACTCACTCACTCACTCACTCGCTCGCTCATTCATTCACTCACTCACTCACTCACTCACTCACTCACTCACTCACTCGCTACAAGTACAAACTTCACTCCTAGCATAAAGTTGTAGAGATGTACAGAGAGAAGTAAGGCCGCAATGGTGGAGAATTAACGATGCATGCTCGTTTACTAGGGTGTCCATATGGGCATCAATCTTGTGTACAGTGTGTGTAAAGTGTGTGAACGAAACGAAACAAGACATGGGAAGTGTGTAAATTATCTAGAGTATGTAAACGAAACGAATCGAGACATGGGAAGTGTGTAAATTATCTAGAGTGTGTAAACGAAAGGAAACGAGACATGGAAAATGTGTAAATTATCTAAACTGTATGAACGAAACGAAACGAGACATGGGCAGTGTGTAAATTATCTAGAGTATGTAAACAAAACGCGAAAAAAGAGAGAGATAAAAGAGAGGGAGGAGGAGAAAGAGAAAAGACACACACACACACACACACAAACACAGACACACACCTGTGCTTGCAACATCTCCAATCTCTGGTCAGTAAACTCGTAGAGAGCGACAACACATTGAATGACGTGCAAGCTGTTGACCATGTAAGTAGCCATGTCCACTGGGGGTAGCTGACTGGCCGAAAGTGAGCAGGCCTGAACGAGGGGCTCCACCATGTAAGTTAAGATCTGAGCAGTTAGTGAATATGGCGGCATTGTTGGGGGTGGGTTTTAGTGGGTTATGCCAGATTAGGCTGCAGGTAGTTCGGTTGTGTAAAATTTTGTATAGTATGTATGTAAACATGTATTCATCATCAATATTATCGTCATCGTCATCATCATCGTTCTCATCATTATCCCCATCATCATCAAAACCTGCAGAAAGACACCCCTCTTCTCGTCTGCACTGGCCACTGATGATTCATTGGAGGAGAGAATTCCTTGAAGGAGGGCGAGGACCTTCTGGATGGAGTCAGTGGGAGTGAGGTCGGCCGGCGGCTGCTCCACCTGAATGAGTGAGTGAATGAATGAATGAATAAATGAATGAATGAAAGGGTGAATGAATGAATAATAAATGAATGAATGAATGAATGAATGAATGAATGAATTGTTGAGTGATTGAGTGGGCGTCTGGTTGTGTGAATGAAGGAAGTATGAATGATCGATTGATTGATCGATTGATTGATCGATCGATTGATTGATCGAATGATTGATTAATTGATTGATTAATTGATTGATTGATCGACTGATTGATTGAATGAATTTAAAAGTGAATAAACGAATGAATGATCACAACCTTATCAATGAGCTTGTTAGCAGCGAAGGAGAGACTGCTGAAGAAGACCTTCCTACTCAGCTGGAACATCTCGTCCAGCGTGTGCACCAGAACGCACGTGCTCGGCATCATCTGGCTGATGACGTCATCGTGACGTCACGTTGAGGTGATGTGATAATGATGTAACGAGATGTCAAACTGCTGACCATTCAAATGAAACTATCCAATCAACCAATCAAATAACGGACCAACTAATTAACCAACAAACTGTCAACCAACCAATCAATCAATCAATCAATCAATCAACCAACCAGCCAGCCAAGGACCAACCTAATAGTAGAAATATAAAATTGCAGGAGATTTGACAACTTGTATAAAAGTATGGGGCCTGGTTCTGAAGTTAACACCTGTTCAATTCTTACCTGGATTGAATTAATGATTGATTGAATGAGTGGCTAATTAGCTGATTGATTGACTGATTGAATAACTAATTAATTGAATAATAAATTAATTGAGCGTGAATGTGACTGATAAGTTGATTGACTGGCAACTAATTGGTAGAGTGATAGATAGATAGATTGATAAATAGATTGATTGATAGATTCATTGACTGATTGATTGATTGATTGATTAATTAATTGATTGATTGATTGAATGGTCAATTGATTGACTTGCCTTGAGAGGCCTCGCCACTCCTTCTGTAATATGCATCAGGATATCTTCTATTGCATTATCTAAAGTGAGTAAACAATCAATCAATCAACCAACCAACCAACCAACCAACCAACCAACCAACCAAACAACCAATCAATCAATCAATCAATCAATCAATCAATCAATCAATCAATCAATCAATCAATCATTCAATCAACCAACCAACCAATCAATCAACCAACCAACCAACCAACCAGCCAGCCAATCAACCAATCAATCAATCAACCAACCAACCAATCATCTGGCAGTTTTTGAGCAGGGCTTGGGCATGTTCTTTTTCAGAAGCGGTCGACTGGTGAATCCATGCCAGCATGTCACCTGATCATCACCATCATCGTAATCATCATCATCTTCGCATCGTCATCATCATCTTCATCCTCCTCCTCATCTTCTTCTTCATCTTCATCATCATCCTCATTAACACTCTAATATATACCAAACATCTCACTCTTATCATCGCAGTCACAACCATAATCACCCTGACCCTGACCTAGATATCTAAGTGGGTCATGGCTGTGCAATTCTATTGGTCGAGGGTTGCCGCCAGGACCGCCCCTCGTCAGAGCGTCGATGAAGTTCCGGACGACAGCGGCACGACGCGCGTTGCCGAACTCGTCAATGGAGTATCTGATTTGTTTGTGGATGAATGAATGAATGAATGAATGAATGAAAGAATGAATGAATACATATATTAGAGATTAAATGAATGAAAGAATGCATGGATGAATGGATGAATGAATGAATGAATGAATGAATAAACGAATGAACTAACTTGAATAGCACGGGCCTGTCATACAAGGCGGCAATGGCCTGGCTAAGTTTGAGACTGATGTCAGGTGAGTCAGTTGACAACAGGCAACATTCATCTGCACGAGTGAATGATCGAATGAATGAATGAATGAATAAATGAATGGAGGAATAAATGAATGAATATAACGTACTCTGTGTCCATCTGTACAACTTTTCATATGCTGTTTCTTGCTGTAATGCCATAGATTCCATGATCTCCAAACTTCCATGTGTGCGTGTGTGTGTGTGTGAAAATGTGTGTATGTGTGAAAATGTGTGTATGTGTAAAAGTGTGTGTATGAGTGTGTACGTTTGCATGTATGCGCGTGTGTACGTGTGTTTGTGCATGTATGCAAGTATGTAAGTGCTGTGCATGTATAATGTATGTTGTGCTATTACGACCATACACATCATCGTCGTCGTCATCATCTTCTTCTTCATCATCATCACTTTCATCGTCATCTTCTTCTTCATAACCACTAGCATCATCATCATCACCACCTCCACCACCATCATTATTATCATTATCATCATCACCATCGCCATCATCATCACCACCACCATCATCATCATTATCATCATCACCACCATCATCATCATCACTCACCCAGCTGTCTGGTGGTTGGTCCTCAGTAGCAGCTTGCAGTCGTTGTGGATCTGCTTGACCCTTACCAGTGCAGTAAAGAAATCCTAGCAAGTAATAGTAATAGTTGTCGTGAACGATAGATTGAAAGTTTGGATGAATGAACGAATGATTGATTGAATAAGACGCACGGATCTCAGTTGACCATCCCTTCCAGTTTTAAGAGCCTGCTTTTCTTCTTCGGTCAGCTGAAACTTCAGTAAAAACGCGTCCACCTGATGATGATGATGATTTCGTTGTAGGGGATGATAATGATGGTAATATGGATGATGATGATGATGACGATGATGTCAATGATAATGATGATGGTGTTGATAATTATGCAGATGATGATGTTGTTGTTGGTAATGATGATGAAGAGAGTCATGGTGTTGATGATGATGGATGATGGTAGTAAAGATGTTGCCGTGACTAACCAGCCGATTTCTCAACTGCAACTTGTGCGTCTCCGCCTTTAACGTCGTTGTCTGACTTATCAGGTCATGAGTTTGACTTTTTGTTTTCTACCAATCAGTCAATCATTGAATGAATGCATGAATGAATGAATGAATGAATGAAGGAATAAATAAGTACATAAAAATAGCCCATCCCTACTTTCAATCGTGATATCATATCCTGGCAGCAAGCATTAATGGCCTCCACGTCCTTATAGATGCTGTCAAGTTGCTGAAAATAATTAAAACAATATTTAACTTTAATAAAAAATTAAAAAATGAATGAAATAAAATAAGAACATTGATTTAAGACAAAAAACTTATCATCATAGCCATTATCATCATCATCATCATCATCACAGCCATCATTGTCATCATCATTATCATAACCTCCTTGACGACGGCAAAGGCCCCAATAAATTCTTCATTAATATTCAAAGTCCTCTTTTCTATATCACCTCTCAGATTTCTCCTAGTCCTAATGTTATTTTCCGTGAAAAATATCGACAATGATTTCAAAGCCTCTAACATGTCCTAATAAAAATTTATTAACTAATTAAAAGTTTTTATTCATTAAGTAATTTGATTAACTATATTTAAATTAATTTATTTTAGCAACTGCTTAATTTAATTTTTAATAAATATATTAAATAAATATTAAAAAAATTTAAATTTGAAATAAATTTATTAAAACATTAACAAAGAACAAATAAATAAATGATTGATTCTGATTGGATAATTCATGGTTAGTTGATTGAATGACTGATTATTTTCTTGATTCAATTAAAATTTTCAACTGGTAATCCTTTAGTTACGCACCCACCTTATCATTGTCTAGTCTGGTATCCAAGATTTTACTGAGCTTTTTAGATAGTGGGTTACTGATGACATCTTTACTAGTATTAACGCTGCTATTTTCAACATTTTTTGGATTGGAAGCCACCGACAGACTGACATCTAAGGACATCGTGAGAGTTCAATTTTATTTATACGGTTAAATAGCCGATTATTACAAAATTTTAAATAATATAATTTCTGTACGTGTTTGTTTATGCTACTGTGGAGAAAAGTGAATTTATTTAATTTAAATTACTAGGCGCTTCATCCATAAAGAAAATAAAAATTACACTACTAATATAACTTAGACTAGCGCCACACACACTCACACACACACACACACACACACACACACATACACACACACACATACATATATAACTTATTTTTAATCCAGGTATATTAAAACAAATAAGATTTTTATTAGAGGACTTGAACCTTTGCACAAACCAAATATGATTTAACAAACAAGGAGAATTTAAATCGAATAAAATAATGATTAATAATGAAATAAATAAATAAATATTTATCACGTTTGTTAGGCATATATTATTAGGTAATTATTAAGTATAATAAATCATATTTTAAAACTATTCTAAAAAATATGTCGGTTAGAATATTACTGATGATGTATATTTCCCCTCTGGTCATGGCAGACCAAGAATCCTACTCGTGGAAGTCTGAATATAAAATTGACGTTTGTATCGAATGTATAGTGTCTTTTCCATTAGTTATAGTGTCTCGTTCTCATAAAGTGACTGACTACACTTACGAGCAGATCTGCAGTAACCGGGTTCAAACGCAAGAAGAATCTTAACTGCCCGTCTTTATCAACCGTGCGATTCGTCATCCAACACGCGCCTAGATTAATTGAATTGCTCTATATAAATTTCATTAATCCATCTCACAATATAAATGTGATGGCTTCCATGGTGATGACGACGACGACGATGTTGATGACGATGACGATAACAAGTGAACGATAATACTACTACATTTACTTAAACGCTTACTTACTTATTTACTTGATTAATTAATTAATTAATCAACTAATTAATTAATTGATTACCTAATTATCTACTCAAAGTATCCCAAGCTAGATGACCAGCATCAGCAGGTCTTCTCAGAGGTAGACAAATTGTCAGAGAATACAGGCGACGAGGCCCAGATTAAATACACGATAAGCATCTACAAGATGCATTTCGATTACGAAGAGGTCAATCATAATAATAATTATATTATATAATTTATAATTTTAATTATATTACGAGAGGCATAATTATTCATAATATAAATTATATTACGCGAGGCATAATAATTATACTATTTATAATTTAGATTATATTATGAGAGGCATAACAACTTTATTGCTTATAATTTATATTTTGTTATGAACTATAAACGCGACTGTTACAACTTCTGCTGCTACTGCTACTGCTGCTGCTGAGAAATATTACTGTTGGGGCCAATTTAGACGTTATTAATTAATTAATTAAATTAATAATTAAATATTAATAATTACAAAAGTCGCAGATGAGGAAGGCCAATTACGAGAACTACGATGATCACAAACTCCTGCACGAGAGCTTCCTCGAGGAGTTTAGAAACCATCCTATCCCAATCAGTATCCCGAACATGGAAAAGATAAAGTCATGGTAGCATCATTATTCATTTCTATCAACATATTATTATTATTATTATTATTATTATTGCTGTTATTATTGTTATTGTTATTATTTTTTTAATTATTATTACTATTATTACTATTATTATTATTAATAATATTAGTATTATTATTATTATTATTATTATTATTATCATTAGTGTTGTTATTGTTATTATTATTATTATTATTAGTGTTGTTATTATTATTATTATTATTATTATTATTGTTTTGCGCAGGTTGTTTTTGAACCAGGTAACCGTGCGTTAAACACAACACGAACGTTTTCTTAATAGATTTTTTTTTCTATAGTTATTTTTTATCACAGGCTCATCGCTCACATTAAGACTTACGACAGAAAATTCAATGGAAAGATGTAAGTGAATGTCTTGCCATCACACACATACACACACATACACACACACATACACACACACACACGCACACATACACACACACACACACACACCCGAACGACAGATCAGATATGTTGAGAGAGCCAGACGACTTCATCTATTTCGACATGTACTGCGTTGTTTGACTAACTTTGCATTAAAAAAAATACATTTGTAGCTAGCAAATAATCATAATTTAATAAAAAAGAACAATGGAAAATGAATATAATAATTATTATTAATAATAGTTATTATTATAATTATAATAATTTTAATAATAATGAACAAATGATGATAATGATGATAATGATGATGACGACGTTGATAAAAAAATGTTGAATGTTGATGGGTTTACTTTCAATATTATATAACTAGAAGCTATTTTACCATTAAATTTATTAATTCTCCGAATTCTTTTTTCATAAAAATAATAAAAATAGCTAAAAAAAATAATAAAAATAGCTAAAAAAATTAACAGAAACCACAAAAATAACAATAATAATAAGAATAACAATTAAAATAAGTAATGGCATAACAAAGCGTTATATATATATATAGAGAGAGAGGGAGAGAGCAACTTATGTGTTGTTTGTGTGCGTGTGTGTTCGTGTGTGTGTTCGTGTGTGTGTCTGTGTGTCTGTATGTGGGTGTATGTATAATAAAAAAACTTACACCTTAATATAAATCGCATTTTAATAACGTTTGACTGTCTGATGTACATATATTCATACATTGTATTGTACCTGACTACTCGCACGTATACATACATACATACATACATACATACATACATACATACATACATACATACATACATACATACATACATACATACATACATACATACATACATACATACATACATACATACATACATACATACATACATACATACATACATACATACATACATACATACATACATACATACATACATACATACATACATACATACATACATACATACATACATACATACATACATACATACATACATACATACATACATACATACATACACATACATACATACATACATACATACATACATACATACATACATACATACATACATACATACATACATACATACATACATACATACATACATACATACATACATACATACATACATACATACATACATACATACATACATACATACATACATACATACATACATACATACATACATACATACATACATACATACATACCTACATACATACATAATATACATACATACATACATGTCTGTGTTGGAAAATGTCCAGTTGAATGCCGACGTGGTTGAGTGACGTTACAGAAAATAAAATCAAATTTAGTCAGACGCTTGGCTTTTGGTGTCATTCGTCAATGATTTGGTTTTAACATACATAAATATACATACATACATACATACATACATACATACATACATACATACATACATACATACATACATACATACATACATACATACATACATACATACATACATACATACATACATACATACATACATACATACATACATGCATACATGCATGCATGCATACATACATACATACATACATACATACATACATACATACATACAAGCATACATACATACTTACATACATACATACTTACATACACATATATATTTATATAGCCCATATTTTAATTAACACTATTTGAATGAAGCTTAATTTAAAAAGACTGCTGCTGTTTGTTTGACTGAAGTTTTGAAATAAAGTTTCACTTTAGCAGCATTTAATTGTGTTAAACATTGGGATTTGTGTCTATAAATAAACAAAATATATGTAGAATGTATAAAAATAATATATATCCTAATAAGACACAATAAGCAATATACAATAAGCATTTACATTCATATATATACATATATAAACAAAAAATTAATAATATTTCAATAGAATTACCTACATAAGCTATAAAATTATTCAACATATTAATAAACCAAATAACATTATATAACATAAAGAAACCCATCAAATAGTATTTATATATTTTTATGTTTATGTTTAAAAGTGTACCGAAGTGTAAACGGTCTGTTTGTTAGATTATTTTGTTAAAAATTAAAAAGTTGATTAAATACCCTAAAAATATTACAAAAAAGTCTTCGAAAACACGTTATTTATACTAAAATATTTTCAAAAATATACCGGATAGAAAGCATCCTTGCGTTTAAAATAATTTAAAAAATAATAAAAGTTGAAGAAATCTAAATAGATAAAAATAAATCAAATCTATTTCTAGTCAATTTTTAAAAAATTGATCAAAATTATTTATATAAAATTAAGAAAGTGAGTTTATTTATTCCCTATTTAATAAATAAAATAAATAATTAATTAATTAAAAAAATTAATTATTTATTTATTATTTAATACTAATTTAATTTATAATTTTTATTTTTTAAACTATTTTAGAGGAAGTTTTTTCTGAATTCTAATCCACATGATGAAGACAGGATTTGCCATACCTGAGCCATATATCTGGGATGAGAGTTTCAGAGTTTTTGTTAGTTTTTCTTCTTTAGTAAAAATAATTAACAAATTCATTATAAAATACCTTAATTAATCTTTTATTCATTTATTTGTTCATTTACTCATTTATTATTTTTCTATTCATTCATTCATCCATCCCTCCATGAATCCATCCATTTAGGTGTGTTTGTATTTTTAAAAATTACTTGAATTAGTTTTTTAAATACATTAAAATATTTTTAAATACTTTTAAATACTTTTCCAGTACGACACACTCGACGAACAGCATAAAAATTTGTTCCATGTTATATTTTCACTGGCTAAATCACCCGATGACCCGATAGTCTTAAAGCATTTGGTTAAAACCATAGATGAGCATTTTGATCACGAAGAGGTTATTTGTATTTTTTATAGTATTTTTGATTGTAATTATAATTGTTTTAATATTAACTATTATTATAGTTCTAATAATTATAACCATAATTTTTTCAATAATAATTATCCAATTATCATACATTCATAATTATCTTAACCGCAATTTTATATTATAAACATAATTTTTATGATTATTTCAACTTTGCTCCCTAGGGCCTGCTAAGAAAAGCCAATTATGCAGACTATGATGTTCACCATCAGGAGCACCTGAATTTTCAGAAGGCCCTCAAAAAAGTTAGGACTCCAGTCTCGGATGAGCAGATCACGTGGGCCAAGGACTGGTTAGTTGCTGATAATTCATTTTTTCTTCAAATTTTTGAAAAAATGAATCAAGTTTTAGTTGATTGAAAATGAGCTAATGTGTGGTTTTCCTCTCTGCGTGTCTGTCTTTTTTCTGTTTTTCTTGCTCACTCTTTTTCTCTCTCTCTTTCTCTCTCTCTATTTATTCTCAATATATTTTTCAATTCCAAAAACTAGAACATGAAGATGTTGTTTCATTGTGAAACAACATCATAAAATAAATGCATAGTGCCTCTATTCCAGTACATAGCACAAATAATATTTTTTAGTATTTCTGATTTTATATACGTACATAATATTTACTAAAATTTAAAAATTAATCTTGATGTAGAAAGATATCCTATCTGAAATCTGTTTTAAAATCTATCTTCTACTACTTCTGCTACTACTATACAAACAAACAAAACTGAAAATTTCATATTAAAAACATTAAAAACAAGAACATTGGAATTTGATCTGAGAGGGCTAGTAATCAACTGAATTCATGTACACGCATTTAATTTGTGTGTGTGTGTGTGTGTTTGCTTCTACTAAAGTTTTGTTACCAACTAGCTCATTCTTACTTTACAAATCTCTAATTATTTATGTAATATCTTATTACATATTAACACATATTCTCCCTTTCTCTTTCTCTCTCTCTCTCTTTTTCTCTTTCTATATAAATATATTTGTATGTATATATATATATATATATATATATATATATATATATATATATATATATATATATATATATATATATATATATATATATATATATATATATATGTATGTATACCGTCTTTGTTTAAGTAACAACTCATTGCAATAATGTATGATATCCATGTTATATACATGTAAAGTAAGTACAACTCTCTCTCTTTCTCTCTCTCTCTCTCTTTCTTACTCTTTTTTTTTCTCTTCCTTATTCTCTTTCTCTTCCTTTCTCCTTCTATGTCTCGGGTTTTATATTTATAAAACTATGTATCTATATTATTAAACTATGTATCTATTTGTGTATCTATATTGTCACTATAATGCTGATAAAATGCGTTTAAGATTGCCTGTATATCATTATATTAATTTAATTAATTAATTAATTAATTAATTGTTTAATTAATTAATTAATCAATTATTTATTTAATTTAGTTTAAAATTTTCACAACAGGCTTGTCAACCATATAAAGGGGACTGACTTTCAGTATAAAGGAAAGCTCTAATATAATTTATAATGGTATTATATTGTTATGTTGTGTTGTTAAATACATTTTATATATATGTATATGTGTGCGTGTTTGTGTGTGTATGTTTGTGTGTGTGTGTGCGCTTGTCTGCAATTTAGTTATCTATTAACATGTAAACAAGTTTGAATGAATGAATGATTGATTGAATGAATGAATGAATGAATGAAAGAATGAATAAAAGAATGAATGATAAAAGTGAACAACGTAACGAACCAGACACTTAGGATATTCTACTTTAAGATTTACTAAAGCGTGCTCGTTAATATAAACTTGACTATTATTCTAAAACATATCATTCATGCTATAATATTCATCATTATAAGTTTTCCTTTTATTCATTTATTTATAAATCGTTGAAAAATAATTGTCGATAATTGTTGAAAAATAATTGTAACGAATTGTTGATATTACGCATTTTATTAACATTTTATATTTTCTAAAATTTCTTGACTGTAAAATTCCAAATAATAAAATTGTAAATTCTTTTCTCGTTGGTTACTCTACCTCGAATTGCGCTATTTAAACCGAAATTTCAATCATCCAATCAATCAAATATCTAAAATATAAGTGGCTGGATACACATTCATGCTTTGGCAAATTAAAATTACTTTCAGTCTACATGAATGACATTTATTCTAATGCCATACCTTTCATATTAACCAGCTAAAATGTATCAATGGATAAGTTAATTAACACGAATAACATTAAATCTATACAACACCTTTTAAATTAGGCAGCTAAAACCATGGGTATATATTGATTAATAGATGAGTTATTTCAAATTAGCTAGTTGAAATGTCTAACAGAGCGCTCTTTCAAAAATCGGCTTACTACATCAGCCAACAACAGTAGATCAACGACAACGCCATCTTCACAGGGCTTCGTCGATGGCAAACCGTACCATAGCATGCCCAAGACGTTTGCTAGTCTGTGGTATCGGAAGTCTATATCTTTAAAGCCGCACATGGATTCTATTACTAATACGCCCGTCTGCGCGAATATTAAATTCGCTAATGATGATGTGTGAGTTGACACTACTACGAGAACTGAGCTGAAAATTTCCAATTTTGCTTTTTGATTGGTGGCTGAATGTTTTTTGAAGATCGAGACTTTAAGTTTAAATTCGGCCGCTATTTTTTCTAAGTTGTGTTTGACTTCGTTGATATTTGCAAACGAATTTGTTTTATCCGAATCGATAATTAAAACGGTGTCTTGTTTTTGAGAGTAGGAGCTAAATACATTTGCAAGCGCGTATGATCTGTAGAACCTGTTTAGGACCTGAGTCTCTAATAAACTTGCATAGCCACATCGTGTGAATCTTGGGACGTACGTTATCATGGATGTGACTGTGCCTGTGATGATTCTCTCTGGACTGATGTTCATTATACCCAGAGTATCGTTAAGTAGGGCTGATGTCTCATCTGTGTGGAGCTTAATGTCGGGGTGTTCTTTGAGGAAATCGATGAATAGTGAGAGTCTCGGGTAGGTTTCAATCATTTTTGAGAAGTAATTCCTCCTGCCGAAATCAGAAATCACAAAAACTTCGGAGTAATGCTGTAATATTTCGCTGTTTTGGATGTTTCGATCATGCTCACAGACTTCTCTCCTGACGTAAACATTACCACTGAACACTTCCCCGTTTGAAGTAATTATACTTTTAGTAAAAATCCTCACCGGATGAACAGGTCTTGTGTCGATATCTGCGTAGCCGTTTCTCGAAGCTAGTTTTAGGACGTACCTTCTTGCGTTGGAAAGGAGTTGGACGGGCTTCATCGCGTGTTTGATGTCGTCTTCACACACGTTATTGTACTCAGGATATAACAATTCATATCTCTTCATAGCGTCGCATAGTACCGAAGAACCAGAAAATGGATAAAACCTTGAAATTAGGTAATTGTAGGTCGGGCATTGTGAATATTTGTACTTTGAGCAAAAAATATCGTCATCTATGTACAACTCAGTCAAGTCAATTAGCGGAAAATAATTATCATCTTCCAAATTATCTTCCAGCTCTCTTACCCAACTTAAAACAACATCTGCCGTAGAATTACAACATTCCAACTGGTTTAAAACGTCGATGAACTTCTGATCAAAATTTGTAATGATAGTAAGATTACTTTCGTCAAAATAGTTCTGATATAGTTCGGGTATCCAGTTTTGTTTTAAAAACTTTGACGCAGATGAGATTTTAAAACGAAGGGACTGCACTCGTTGTAATATATCTCCTTTAGTCCTGAGTAACTCGTGAATATTCTCGTTAAAAAGACTGGAGAATTTATTCTCCACAATTAGCGGTTGTAGTTTGTTAGCCTGGTTTAGTAGCGAATCCGGAATGAGCAGGTACCAAATTAGGAGTAAAACTCCGAACGAAAATGCCAACAATTTGAAATACAAAAGTTTCAATTTTTCATTGGAAATGTAAAGAAATTTATATAGTCTGTATTTATTTAAGTTATTTCTATACATTTGAAATTAAAGTTTTACGACAATATTTTTTAAATCAAATTTTTAATTTTTTATTTAAGAATTCTAAAAATCGAAAGTTGAAACGAACGACGAGCCAAAATTTAAGTTCGCTACAACGGATTTTTCAAATGAAAATTCACACGAACGTCGTCATGGCAAAGAACATTTGTATAACGAACATTGTTTAGAACTATGCCCATACTGGAATTTCAAAAAGTTTGTATAAAGTAGACCTTAAAACGCAAATTTATCAACATCATTTAAAGATGACTTTAAATCTTTCAACCATTAGTAATACTGGACTACATAAAAAGCCCAGTTTGCATTCAAATCCAAACCACTGTACCCATTCTGATGTTTGTTGAGTTCGCATGTCTTGGAAGCTGCATTGAAGTTAATGGAATCACATCCGCCAACTTTACGAACGCGGTGGAGACATTCAACGGCACTTCTTACACTCATTGTCTGCACTCTGTAGCCACTCAAATAGGAGCTTGCATTTTTTTTCCATACAAAAAAATCTGCGATTGGAATTGTAGTACTATACTTTTTAAAACAAAAAAAAAACGAACAAAATTTTACAGAAAAAAAAATGAAAAACGCGTTTATAAAATACTTGACACTAATCTTAGAATAAAAAATGATGATATGTAAAATACTTGACTCTAATCATAAAATAAAAAATGAATTAAATGTTTTGTTCCATCAAAAAAGAATTTAAAAAATTAAAATACTACCTCTGGATAGGGCTGAAAAGGCCTGTAGCTCGCACGAAGCGAAGTTACCGTCGAAAGCATCGGCAGCCTGCTGGGCAATGAGATATCTGAAAGATAGCAGGTTGGCGTTGCACTTCATGAGCACCTTAGATCCTGGAACCACATAACCAGACCACTGACCGCAGAGGGGGTACTGCTTTCTGATTGGTTGATAGCCGGGTGTGTTGGTGAACCCGATGTAGAAATTATCCATGCGGTGACGACCTGGAAAAATAGGAGAACCATGAAATACTTGTTCTAAATTTTATCTTGAATACAAACCATAGTAACCGACTCTTGAAGTAAACGTAACGTAATCTACGTAGAAAAAATCCTGAATGTCCACCATGAACCAGTTCGGTCCTCCAACTGAATCCACACCATGCCCACAGTGGCAGTCCAGAAGTTGCGTGTCGTGAAATCCATCTACTGCGAGATCTGCCACGAAAGGACTGCACTGGCTGACTATGGTAGTTTCTCTGTATACCGAACTCGATGAGGCTGGTTGGTGCAAGAGAATGTTCTTTCTGTAAACTAGAAAGTTATGGAATGATGTGGAAAGTTTGTTTCAGTTCAATTTTCTGAATTAAAAATATCTAGTTCAATAAAACTCAAACTTCCGAATGGAGTTCCGTAGACTTCGAATTCGCAGACGGACATGTATCCAGTAGAGTTGGAAGATTGTTGCAGTATGACGTATCTGGCTGGAGGCGTAGTAGAAGAACAATTCAACTGAACCACCTGCTTTGAAGCAACCACACCTGGATATTGAGCACAGAGATCGTAGGTGCCTCTCACTGGCGGGTGAACATCCAGGGATCTGTTGCTCACCCCCACTATGAAGAAGTTCAGATCGTTTTTTGTTGGTAGGTCAACTTTGTCTGAAAGTTGTATGTTGATTAATTTTAACAAATTGAATATGTACTATGAGTTTGTAGAAATATGCACAAGAGTACGTTTCAAAAATATCTTGAATCATATACAAATCTAAATCGCAAACAAATATCACCACTGCCGGCATAGACAATCGCGTAACATATCGTGAAGATGTTTTCTAGGTCCAGGCCGATCCAGTGGGGTTCGAACCCGGGAACCGTCACAGAACAAAAGGTTGAACTTCCGTCCGACGAATTTTCTCCATCGACGGCAAAAAATGACGTCAACATCAGCGTGGAATTGATAACGTAGGCCGAGCTGTTGTACGTGTAGACGCCTAGAGCTATATTCTGCCCAATTTCCAAGCCATCTACATTATTTTTTTTAACTAAATGAGATCACAAAAACAATTTTTCAAATTAGAAAGATGGAATTAATAAATTTAAATTAATTTAAAAAGAATTTCTCACTTAATTTTGGCAATTGAATAAGGAATGGGATCATGAACAACAACATTTTTCACGGTGTATTTGTCTTAATCGGTATAATTTCAGAAATCTCTAAACGTAAAATATGAAAAATTATCTGAAAACTGACGAAACGTTTAAATATTTTCACAGAAAAAAACTTCAAAAAGCTAGAGAACAACTATTTTAATATGTTTTAAGCACAATGTTCGACCATAATTGTGTTCTAATTGCTTACCTACGGCTCCAACATTTTCGTAGCAACTCAATTTACTTTTTCACCATGTTTGAAAAATTACATTCTAGTAAATTTTTTTTTTAAAAATTACATTTTAGTAATTTATTCTTGACTATGTTTGCAATAAGTTTTTTAGTTTGTATTTTACATTTTTTCAAAGACAAAAGAATGAAATAAACATTCATCAGAACGTTTTCAAACGGCTTTCCTATGTTACCTGCATTTTCCATTTCAACTTCACATTGTTTATCTGTATCTTCCATTCTTTTCTTTTCTTTTTTTTCTTTTCAAAAGACCGACTAAATTTATAATTTACGTTGCCCGTCATAAAATGTGGTCTTCCATTTAAAAAGTTATGTTTAGTTTAGTAATTCTTCCACCGAATGTATACTTTCATTTAAAATTTTTTAGTTTATTAGTCCGCTAGAATGTATCAATCGATTGATAAAAATTTTATTAAAAAAAAATCTACCAGAACCGACTGATTGAGATAGGGTTGATTATTGTAACTCGCTCTACTATGGTCTTCCTGACTACTCTATCCTTTAAGTAAAGCTTTTAACTCTGCTGCTCGTCTAGTTGCTCGTGCCCATTTCTTTTCTCATATATCTCCATATCTTGTTCTCTTGCACTGGCTACCTATAAAATATAGAATAATTTTTAAAATTTGCACGCTCATGTATAAGTCTCAATCTAAATTATTTTCTAAGTATTTATCAGATATATTAATTGAACCTAAACGCCCCGGTTTACGATCGTCTTCTTCTTCTCCCTTTTTTCTGGAACTCTCTACCTACTTCTCTGACTACTTCTCCATCACTTGCGAAGCTCAGAGCGGATCTTAAGACCCATCTGTTTTCAAAATTCATTGAGGAGCGCTGTTGAACATCGCGGAAATAGCGCTTTATAAGCTATTTGATTGATTGATTCATTCATAAAGATACATGCAGTGGCAGGTCTAGACAACTTTAATGGGCAAAATTTTGAAATGGTATAATCTGGCATAAATTTTGACGGCGGTGACCATTTGACTACCATTTTTTGCTATATCTGCCATATGTACGTACATTTAATGTTGACTCAACCCAAGGATAAATTTTAAAATCGGTTTAGCTAGTGACGTTAACATTACATTGATGATGTGATTGCATTGATGATGTGATTACTGTAAGAAAATTCTGTGCGATCGTTTCTTTCTTTGAAAAAAACTCAATAATTTTTAAACGTTTTAATTCCATCACGATTAGATGAAATTTTTGTTATAAGATAGAAAGAATGCTTAGTGTTAGTGTAGTTATCTATCTATACACTTATTTTGAATTATTTCTATTTATTATATTGTCTTTACTATTATTTATTAAATTTAATTTTGACGAAAAATTCGGAAAACGCATTTTTGTATAATTAATACTCAAGAGACATTTTGCTTCCACAAACTTTAATTTGGAAAAAAAATGTGGAAAACCGAAGATGTATAGTTGATAATTTAGGACAAAAACAGATGATATATAACAACATAAATATACCAATATATACGTATCAATAATTATCAATATGTGTATCCATACAGATATCAATCATAACATGACGACGATGATTTATGTTCAAATTTTATTATGTATCTACGGAACAAATTTATTCAAATGAACAAATTTTAAAGCCATATAAGATGAAATATAGATAAAATTCACAGGTCACCAGGCTTTTTTCAAGGCCAATGATGTTTATCGTTAGAAAATGATAATGTTAATAAATACAATGATTGCCATTTTAGAGGATATAACTGGAACTGGAACCTCTTTACAGCTTTCCCTTGTATAAGAAGTCAGTTCCTTTGATGTGGTTTACAAGCCTTTAGGGGAAGGGTGGGAAGAAAATTAAAATCAAATTAAAATCAAATTAAATATCAAATTGAAACCAAATTTAAGACAAAAATTTTGATCTAATTAATTTAATTATAAAATAATTAAGGTTGTAAGCAATTATAAACAGTGTAATCGGCACTAAACTATTGTGTTGATAAGATTTATTTGAAAATTTTAACACCTAGAAATTACTTTATAGTTAGGGTAGAACTTAATATATAATCAATACATGACATCTATGATAAAATAAGACATGTTACATGTGCAATGTTGGTTTATAAGCATACAATGGTCACAGATATTAAAAGCTACTGACCAATTTTTGGCAAAGTGGATTTTGTCGTTAGCGACTGGACAGGCGATCGTCTTCAGAGTGGCCATGAAGTCGTCGTGCGCTTTTTTGTGGCTCTCCGCGTCTGGGTAGCTTTTAGCTTTGAACATTTCCTGGTAGTAGTAGATGGATAGAAGGATTGTTCGATGAATAAATGAATGAATGGATTAATGGATGGATGTTTTGATTGGTGGACGGATGGATGTACAGATTAATGCTTGGGATGATGGATGGACCGATAGATTAAATGTTAAACAAGCCAACGATTGAAAGAATGAATCACAGATGATAATTAATTTTATATTTTATGATGAAAAATTTGAGAAAAATGAGTCAAAAAGAATGAACCGACTTAACAAAAACGAACCTCTTCATGTTTAAAATGGGCATCGACAAGTTTCGCCAAACATTCTAAGGCACCCTGGTCAGATGGGGCTTTGGCCACGTTGAAAACCCCCTGAAACAGGCCCTTGTGCTCTTCATCTAACTCGTTGTACTACGGAAAAAATTTAATTTTGAACATTTGGTGAGATTTTTTTCTGTGTAAAAATTACTACAAGCGTAAGTTTCTGCGTCGAGTTTTTAGTTACAATATATTTTATGTATGAGTGAATGGATAGATGGATGAATGAATGAATGAATGAATGAATGAATGAATGAATGGATGGATAGATGGATGGATGGATGGATAAATAGATGAATGAATGAACGAACGAACGAACGAACGAACGAATGAATGAATGGATAGATGGATGGATGGATGAATGGATGAATAGATGAATGAATGAATGGATGAATAGATGAATGAATGAACGAACAAACGAACGAACGAACGAACGAACGAATGAATGAATGAATGAATGAATGAATGAATGAATGAATGAATGAATGAATGAATAAACGTACGAATGATGATGTATCGATAACATTAGACTATGACGGACTTGTAATATAATTGAATGGAATAAAAACTTAAAAAAAATTTTAAATAAAAAGGCCAGCTAACAAAAACTTTGAAGGTCTCGTCCCAGACAAATGGCTCCGGAATATCAAAACCCATCTCAACTCAAAGGATAGACTGAGCGACGGAAAGAGAAAAAAGAAGGAATGAATATTGGCCAACGAAAGCTGTACCTACGTTGCATTCGCATCTTCTTTTATAGATCCAGTATCACGTTCAACTTATCGATGTATTGTATACATACATACATGAATACATGCATGCATACATACATACATACATACATACATACATACATACATACATACATACATACATACATACATACATACATACATACATACATACATACATACATACATACATACATACATACATACATACATACATACATACATACATACATACATACATACATACATACATACATACATACATACATACCTACATACATACATACATACATACATACATACATACATACATACATACATACATACATACATACATACTATATTATTTTAGGGATAGGATACGTTAAGTAAAGTCACTTTCAGTGGGTACTTTTTTCATCTGCGAACGTTCGTTAAGTCATGTTAGCTCAAATGTGTGTGTGTGTGTGTGTGCGTGCGTGCGTGTGTGTGTGTGTATGTTTGTATCTGTGCGAGCGTTTGTGTGTGTAAGAGAGAGAGAGAGAGAGAGAGAGAGAGAGAGAGAGAGAGAGAGAGAGAGAGAGAGAGAGAGAGAGAGAGGAGTGACAATAAAAAGAAAAAAAAGAATTTGTGTGTGTCTATGTGTGTGCACGTCTGTGCTGGTGTGTTTGTGCGTGTGTAAAGTGTGTAGGTGTGTAAAATGCAAATATGTGTTAAACTATGTAGAATCCAGTATGAATGGTGAATGATACGTTACGCGTATCTCTCTCTCTCTCTCTCTCTCTCTCTCTCTCTCTCTATCTCTACTTTTTTGCAATAGATTATATCTGCTAATTCATGCAACTTAGATTTGAGCTTGGGATGAATTAGGCAAACAGCTGTCTGGCCGACAGATGTATGTTAGCTTATTTGTATGTGTGTGTCCATGTGTGTGTGTGTGTGTGTGTGTGTGTGTGTCCATGTGTGTGTGTGTGTGTGGTGTGTGTGTGTGTGTGTAATTTCATCGTTGTTTGTCACAGTAGGCCAAAGAAGAGTTTGCGATTTAATACATAAGTAAGCATGCACGAGCTAGTTTATGTACATAAAATAACTCGACCAGACCATAGTTTGATTCCACTCTTAAATTCTTTTCCAATCAATCAATCAATCAATCAATCAATCAATCAATCAATCAATCAATCAATCAATCAATCAATCAATCAATCAATCAATCAATCAATCAACCGATCGATCGATCGATCGATCAATCGATCAACCAGTCAACCAGTCAATCAGTCAACCAGTCAATCAGTCAACCAGTCAATCAGTCAGTCAATCAACCAACAAAATAATCACCGATATTAAGCAACGCCATTTT